TTGTCACGCTCTGCCGCCCCCTTCGCGCGGTTGACGCTATCCCGTTTCAGCACAACGAGCACTAGTCCTACTTTTCTGTGCTCCCTTTCGCAAACATCTTATGGTGTCATGTGTTTATTTTATCAATGTTTTTTTTCTCCTTTGCCATCATTTTTTTAGCAGCAGTTACAGGGCTGGACTGAGGTTAGCTGTCGCTCATAGCAGTGTCATTTTAACTGCGTGGGCGACGTCCAGCTGCCTTAGCAGACCGGTAAAGGGCAAATTTAGGAGAGGGTGTTGTGGGAATCAAGGCTATCCCGCTGCCTTTGCGCGGGCTTTGCCGCCTCTTTCTCCATCCTCATGTCCCGTCAGGACCATCCTCCTCCATGGTCTGCCGCGCTGGGGTGAGTGATGGTGACGTTTAACCCCTCTCACATGGTAGCGAATGCCGACTGTGGCGCCACGCGCAAAGTCTCCCCGAGAGGTTTCATGCGCGCGCATTGGGTGTGAGAGAGACCTCTCCGGCGACGACATGGGGGTAAGCATGCTTTTCTTTTCCGTCCGTTGGCTTCCTTTGTTTGTGGCTCGTTCAAACTTCGCCAACAGCGCCTTGCGCCCGCAGCGAATGCTTAACTTATGTTGCCCCCTTTCCTAACGCTAGGCAAAGAGTGGTGCAGTGTCCTAGTGCGTGGTCAAACTGCGCCGACCTGTATCTCTCCGAAGCCAATGCGAGCGCCTTTGCCCTAGCTCGAGCAATTGGGCCTTTGTGCCAGTGTCTCGGTGAATCACTGCACTCACTGTACTCGCTGTATTGATATTTTGGTATTGTATTTCTTTTTGAGTTTACTATGAGTGCCCTTCTTGCAAGGACCGAATTCTGGTCTGCAGTATGTTATAAATAAAAGAAATCACTTTTACCACGGAGACGTGCTCACTGCACCCTGTGTAGTACTTCTTGCTCGGGGTGTGGATAAGCCCATCTGCTTTCCCGCCGCGTCTTTGCAACAGGCTTTCTACTGCGTTTCGGTGTTGCTGCAGGCAATGAAGTGTTGCGACCTTGAGCAGTACTGTGTTCTCGCCATGGGGACGGTTAACACGTGCCCTGCGGCTGGCTAAGACCGGACCCACGCTAGTACGCGTAATCTTTCAGGTTACGTGTACACTACAGCCTCTACCACCGTTCCGCACCTCCGACATCGAGTCAAGGGTCCAAGAGTTCGAGGATGCCTTGGAGCTTTCACTTGACCTCATATGGCGCCTCGCCTATTTCTCTTGGTGCTCTCGCCCATATGGAATGTCGTCTATGGAATGTTGTCCTTCGGTTTCGCCGCGCTGAACACCGCCTCTGACACGAGACCGACCACACAGATGGTGCTTTTTCATCAACGCTGATCAAGCCTTTCTCGCGGTTTTCCTCAACCGCATCTCGTCCAGCGCTGTGTCACAACCACGAGGTAGGCGACCGTCCTATGACAAAGGACTACAAGGACATATCACAGCGTACGCTGCTCGAAAATCGGCCTTTGGTTGGCCGGTCGGTGCCTGTGGACACGCCGGTGAACAAGATGACTTCAGCGCCTATTCACGCAGTGTGCGACACCCAAGCCGGCGCAACCTGTCACCTGTTCGCTGACACCACGTGCGGCACCGTAACTGAACCAGCTGCCCTCTTCCACGCCAGCAGCAAAGCTTCCGCCAGCATGGCAACGGCTGTGGACAACGTTCCAGTTATGCCCATATCCAAGTTATCCGATTGTGACTCGCCTGCTACGCAAGCATATGGCCAGCACTCCGTTCCGCACCCAAGATCTCTTGTGGCGATGCAGCCGCGTACATGGTGTGCCGTGGTCTGGTACAGCCCAAGTCTCTTGCAGATTTTGACTTGCTGCCGACAATCTCTGAGGACAGCGCTGAAGAGCTTGAAACCAATCAGCACTTTCCACAAGACATTCGACGACGCAGCGGTTCTGATCAGTGCTGCTCGAGTCCGGGGCCTTTTTTTTTCAGTACATGCCAGAGTTGCTGCCATATGTGCCAGCGTTTCTGCCATCCTGTGCACCTTGCGCTCGTGCCATCAGTCCGTTGCTGTTCTATGCACTTGCCCGCTGCCACGTCTGCAGCTCGTCGGAAACCGCAGCGTGCATTGCAGAGCCTTTCTTCCGGCATGCCGTTTCAGGGACCATCGACCAGCATGCCCATGCCCGCACCTCATGCAGACAGCATTCATTTCTCAACGACGCTCGTGCGTACAACAACCATACAACACTTGCGACACGTGCCCTCACGAGTTATCACTGCACTCCGAACCATCCCTACTGAGGAGTTATCTGACTGGCGACCGATGGTGTCACTGACGCCCATGGCCACAAAGTCCTAGATAGGTTGCATCACTGCTTCCAACATCATCTGTTGGCGTGCACCTCACCCTCTTCGCGGCTCCCAGTGTCGCCCACCAGAACTTTCAGATACCTAAAGAAGAAGACTGCCGCATGACTCGTGATGCACGAGCCACGAGGGCAGAACGGCTGAGCTCCTGGCCTGGCTGAACGCAGCATTGGCGACTGCGCCTACGCCTGTGTCCCAAATAAAAGCTGTGACCTCAGCACGGGCTCATCGCCGTCGTCTCGCCTCTCCTTCCTCAATAATGTCAATGTGATGTTTCATTCTTACTTTTAAACTTCCTGGTCTTGCAAACCTAGAGATGTCCAGATGCATTCCTAGTACGTGCACTATCCCTAGATCACGATACTTGTACAATATATTGACCGAGTTTTTATGTGAGCTCTGCATAGCGTTGTCAACTGTCCAGTTTTAGACCAGCCTGGCCAGTTTTCTAGATCGCTGGCAAATTGCCAGTCTTCACCTACCACCATTGGCCTTTTTTTTTCCTAATGTTGCAATTATTTATTTCCTGGGGCATTTCAACATCATTTCAACAACTGTGACAATAAGTATTGACTGTTCATCACCAAACAGCAAAAGTTTGTAGGGCGTTGAATGCACAAGAAATGCAAATTTCTGCTAAATCAGTGCCTAATGCTTATAATCTTGCAGGAGACTATAGGTCGAATTGCCAAGTGCCGTATGGAACATTTATTTTGAAATTACATTTACAGACAAGGCGGAAATTTAGCTTTATTTAACATTTCATGTCTCGTAAATTTTCGCTGTACTGAGTACATATGAATATCCGACATTTTTGTGGCATCCTCAGTGTATACATTTTAACGTTTGTCAGTGTCTACAATGCCACAAGCCTCTGGGATTCAGGTGCAAAGAAGAGCTTTTTTATGGATGAAGCATTGCGGTTCCTGTACAGTGCAGCAAATTCAGAGCAATAGACAAAGCGTCAGCCGAATCATGTATAGTGTTTGCTGTAAGTACACTGGAGGGAACTTTGGCGCTAGTGCCTATGAGAATTGCAATGTGCGGCACTTGAGCCAGCATGTGAATCTTGCATAGTACCCAGATTTGTATAATCTTTGTTCTTTTGGCTTCGTATGGCTCCATGTGGCCTAAATTCGCTTTGCCACCAGACGAAGTTCAGCACAGGCTCAACAGTTATGCTTCACCGCCTTGACCTTTTCAGGCTCACCAGTTCAAATTGGTTTACAAAGTTCACAATAATCCATTCTTGTTGTCTTTTTTTTTTAACAAAACAAAAATATGGCGATAAACAAAGCCACAAGTGTTTTCGAAGCATGCAAGCAGAAATGAAGACTAGGCAAATCCGTGTACTGCCCACCATTCCCATGGCTGAACGATTTTAGTGCCAGAGCTTCGGCTAGTTAAATTTAGGACACACTGTACAATCCGGGTATTTTTATGCCACCAATTTAACTAGTTGGTTAGCTCAGTGTGCGACTTTGTACATTAGGTTCATTTCACTCAAGGAAAGCTATGTTACATTATATGGCACTGCATGTACTTGACATTGAATATGTCGTTCAACATTAATTCGATGTCCTGTCAACCCATCTCCTTATTCCAGTCATGACGGACATGCTTTTCGACAGCTGGCTACACTGTGGTTAATTAAAATACCCCTGCACTTCTGAAGTCTCGTGACAATATGTAGCCTATAAAGCTGAAATATATCTGTGTCTTTTTTTTACCATGTTATACATTGGTAAACTTAATGCTTAATTCTTGTTTTAAGTCTCTAATCTCTCAAAAAAATTCAGCTTCCTGAGGCGAAGGATTTGGCTGTTATTTTTAACACAGCTGTCAAATTGGTTAAAAAATTGTTCACTAAACGAAATGCATTTCACATGTATTCGACGTTATAGTTGACCTCAAAGTAAAACTCATTGTGCAGCAGTGCAGTTAGCAAATAAGTTGCATGTTACTAAAATAAATTTGCTAGTTTTTTTAGCCTTTTTGCATAACACTGATTATGTTTGAAGGAACTTCATCAAAACTTCTTTTTGGCTGAGTTGGTTCATTGTAGAGAAAGAGAATAACAGCGTAAAAACACACCCAGGATAGTGTGTTCATGCCTGGTTCTCTTTGGTGGGTGTGTTTTTTGTGTGTGTTTTGCTTGGGTGTGTTTTGATCTATATTCAAAGGAACTTTAAGCTCTTCAGTGTATTGTATTGCCCCGCCACGGTGGTCTAGTGGCTAAGGTACTCGGCTGCTGGCCTGCAGGTCGCGGGATCAAATCCCAGCTGCGGCGGCTGCATTTCTGATGGAGGCAAAAATGTTGTAGGCCCGTGTGCTCAGATTTGGGTGCACTTTAAGGAACCCCAGGGGGTTGAAATTTTCGGAGTCTTCCACTACTGCTTCTCTCATAATCATATGATGGTTTTGAGACGCTAAACCCCACATATCAATCAATCAATCATCTTCAGTGTATTGTACCTAACAGTGGGAAGTCTAAATTTAAAAACTGATAAAGCTAGTGCTGAGAAATTGAGTTCATTTATTTGTTGTCAGGTGTGTGCATGTGTGCTTGTGTGTGTGTGTATGTGCATGTGTGCGTGTGTGTGTTTGTAAACCCACATTATTTTCTTTCTTGGCAGGAAAGAAATTAAGGAAGGTGCCGAGATACTCCTGGACAAGCTAAAAATATTTCAACCACGCATAGCAGTATTCAATGGCAAAGGTGAGCTACCATTCCGAAAGTACGTATTCTTGTGCCCTAATTTTTCTTTTTCAGAGGCTGCGTGAATGAAGAACAGCTGTAGAACGCATTTCAAAACACCCCAGAGGCTTTGCATACGAGTTGTATTTTGAGTTGCAATTATGGCTTTTCTTTATTTACTTAATGAACAAGGTTCGTGCTGACTTTGCTAAAAGTAGAAGTGGGCAGGAGGGAGACAATGTTTGTCCAAGCAACACCTCTTTTATATTTCGATGCCAGTGCAAACGGGCGCTTCTCAATGGGTGCCATTATTCCACCTTAGTTCAGAGAGTGACCGTGATGCGACACTACATGGTGGGTAGCGCTGCTTGTGTCACAAGTGCTTCCGAGCGCTTTCCCCGGTAGATGTGAAAGTGTATTTTTCACTCCAATATTATACGTCTGTCAGATTTTTTTCTTTGTACTGCTGCTTTATGACTTGAAGCAGTGCCACCGCCGTGTCACAGATCAGCACATGCAGAAGCGTTGCAGTGACGTTTCCCCATTGGTTGTTCGCATAGTGCCACAAACGGCGACACGCTATCTCAAAACATCGTATCTTTCACAGAGCCAGCGAACACGAGAAATGCAAGACGCCGCCCCACAGATCTGTACACAACTGAGCAAGAAATTACTTCATATGATTTCCGTCATGAGGCACTGCATGAGGGGCTCTCACGCCAATGACCGCAAAGCACCCACAAAGCTAGGCGATGGTAGAGAGCAGAAAAGGGCTAGAGGAGAGGGTGGTGAACAGCTGGATCCGGTATATCTGGCTGGCATTGATAAAACAGGGGAGGTGTTGGTCCAAGTACCTCAAATGCTGCACATGATAGAAACACACTTTGGTATGTTGTCAAATTCAATATACTTTATGTGCAAAATTTTGTGAGGCATTACATACATTGAAAGGGATGCTAACGTCATATCAAAAAGAACAGGCTAACTAATATCATAAAAAAAAAGTTGAAGGGACAGATGTGGTGGCAAGAATTAGTACTATTACAACTTTCCCAACAATGAAAAATATTTAAAAAGAATGCATTGCTGGGCTGCTTGGTTTATAATCTTAAAGTTTGGTAGTGCGAAATTCACAAGGACAGGAAGGAACACAGAAATACTGGACAGAGCCTAGCTTGCAACTAAGCTTTATTCAGAAGTCTCCCTAATATATACGCAGCCAAGTAGCGCATGTAGGCACAATGCACATCACATTCTACAATGCTAATCAGAATCGACAGAGCAACGTATATTTGGTTTCATAACTAAGTTTTTAAAATCATTTTTCTTTACTGCGCAATACAACTGAAGTGTCGCTTATACAATTACCTTCTCTCTTTAATCTGGTAAGCCTCCATTAGTTCTTTCACCAGCACATTTCCACTTCCACCCAGAATACGAATGCGAGACAGCACTGATTCACACGCAAAGGTCTCGAGATGCACAGGCAGATCAAACGTCAAATTATTTCCTGTTCCTCCCTGTCTTCCCTGTCCTGTCCTTGGTATTGTGCTATGAAGTTTTAAAATGAAAAATATTTTGTAGTTCTATCAGCTTGAAACACTTGCATACTAAATAAATGATTGAGCATGACGGTTAAACCAGGTATATTTTGACGCAATCTTGAAGCATAACAGTGCATTGGCTGGCTACAAAACATACCTTTAAAGCACAAATACCAATATCATTATCTGCTATTTTATTACACTCAGTTTAACTTGCCTATGGCAATAAATTTTATAATTGCAGGTAATATGGGTGACTTGCTATATTCCTGGTCGTTCAGCGAACTGGGAGCGTGGGAACACGCAAGACAGAGAAGGAATTGCACATCAAAAGCGCTCACTAACAATTGGATAATTCTCACATTCAGTAGACACATCCATACATAATGGTGTGCATGTCAAAAAGATTATGACAACAGTACAAGCAGCATGCAAAGTGTTTAATCGAGGCACTTGTCCATCAATTATCTATGTAGTTAAACTCACAATCATGTATTGATAATGATGATTGGCTGATACACTGATCTGCCTTCCTGGAAATGTGATACACTTCAGAAATTTTAGGCGAAGTTTGAAGACTTCTGACGAAAAAGAACTCTTGTTTTTTCAAACAACTGTTGGCATTTGCACGAATCGCAATGCAACGCTAAATGGGAACATGGGGTACTCTTGAAGGAGCTTTTATGTTCTCTGAGGCGTACATTCAAACATTGGCCCGTTTGGCCAATGTACATGCGACCACAAGACAGGGGTATGTCATATACTATTCCTGTTTTACACTTTACAAACTGTGTTGCATGTCTTTGGGAACATCTCCTGTCTTTAGACGCACTCTGTGCCCTCCTCTGCTCTTTGGCACATATACAGCCTAATTCATTGAGTGCAAAGAAAACAGCGCTCACACCAAACCGGTGCCCCACATTGTTTAGTTTGCACACCATTCTATGAATGTAAGGGATCATGGCCATGCGTTTGTTTCTTTCGATGCATTCTGAAGAAATACATGTACGTTTTTCACTGTTTTTTACCACCTGCTAGAGCCTTTCACATACTAATGAAATAAAATATGAAGGTTATCCATGGCAGCTGTGTGCTGTTTTTCCTTTCCTTTCAAAAGAGAGAGAAATAAAATATTAATTATATTAATCTGTTCTGTATTGAGGATAAATAGTGAACTTCCAAATTTCGTTCATACGAGAGGGAAATAAAATATTAATTATAATAATTTGTTCTCTATTGAGGATAAATACTGAACTCAAGAAGTCTACCGTTTTTTGCTTGGTGTGCTCAAAATTCAGAACTTGTGAAGCCAGGATTGACATACTTATTTCAGGCAAACTATTTTTTTCTAACCAAGCTAATCTCTCAATTGTTGGTCTTGATTCAAAGCCTCCGTCTAAAGTAAATTTCATCGTAATCAAGACCAGTGACCCAGACCTTGTATTCATTCTTACCTGAACAATCTCAAAGCATTTAGATAAGCAGGGCGATTGCAATACTTGCTTCATTTTATTATTTGTCTGATTCATAGCCTTATGTTATTGGCTAGACGCCCTCCTGTTTATACATGTTATAGGAAAGTGGTAGCAGGCATAGAGCATCTTGCAATATTTACTAGAGAGAACTCTGGTGTTGCGATTGGTCAGTCACCATGGGAATGATGGGACATGAATTTTCGTAATCTTTATGCTTGTGGCTTTGTTTATTGTTGTTTCTACTTTTGTTTCGGATCATTGTGAACTTCCTTAGTCAATTTGAATTGGTGAGCCTAGAAAGGTTAAGGTAGTGAAGTGGCACTTGTGAACATTTGCTGAAATTTGTTTTGTGACAAAGCACCTGCACACCTCACGAATCCCAACTAATCTAAAAGAACAGAGCTTAGACAGATCTGTGTACTACCCATCATTTCTATGCTGGCTGAAGCACCATGTGTTACAGCTCCAATAGACACTAGATATTCCTGTAGTGTACTGTTAGGAGATTCATGGCAGCGAGTTTTTTTTAGCAACATTCCATTTATGATTGCTTTCAGGCATCTATGAAATTTTTTCTGGGAACAAGAATTTTGTGTTTGGGCGACAGCCAGAGCCAATTGAAGGGACCAATGTGGTATGTCCATTCTTATTATACCAGTTCACATTGTTCTTGTTAAGCCATCTCTGTTTTAAGCCAGAAGACGGGGCAATATCGAGCTCTAGCTGCTGTGAGGTTCTGATGGGTCCGAATGTTTTCAGATGCACAGTGTTAGGCAAAGGAAAAGAGGGGCATGAGTGTCACGTTTTTGTCAGACAGGACATTACTGGTTGTTTTTCAGCTTTCATGTCGTATTTATGACATCGATTGAAAGAAAATAATGGGGACAATAACAAAAGTGCCCTTTTTCTCGGTGGTGGTTGCACAACCTTGAATTTATGCAAAAATCGATGCTCCGGACTGATCTGTGATGGAATGCACTTATCCATCCGGCTTGTTGGGTATGCTTGTAATCCTTGGTAGCGTGAGCCAGTGCCACTCGTACACAAAAAGGCAGTGAGTTTGAAACTCTGTTTTCTTCGGAGGGTGTTCCATGGCTGCTGACCAGTAGTGCTACCTCTAGGCGTTGATTCTGCTAGGACAAGGTTGTTGCTATGAAAGAACAAAACAAGTGAAATATTTTCTAGGGGGTTCATTCTTTGTTTGCTCGACACAATCCAACAGCAAGTTAGGCCAAGAAAATAGCTTAGTAGAATTCGTTGCTGGGCGAGTTGGTGCATTGTCAGAAAATGAAACCACAGTGTAAAAAGATGGGGCACAAGGAGACAGGACGGACACTCACTACCAACCGATCTCATTAGGTAAGAATAAGGGGAAACATAGAGAGCGCACCTGACAAGTGCATCTGCGCATGCAGAGCTAAGCATCAAAAAATCTACTGAATATTGCGGCAAAGCAATTGAAATTCATGCTTCCGCAAACACACTGACGTCTGGCTGTTGCGAGCTGCACCCTTCATTTGCATGTAGGACACCTCCAATAGCTTGCGTCAGCCAGACGTCAGTGTGTTTACGGGAACATGAATTTCAATTGATTTGCCCTAATATTCGGTAGATTTCTTTATGATTAGCTTCGTGATGCATGCGCAGATGTGCTTGTGACATACACTCTGTATATTTTCCCCCAATTCTTTCATAATAAGACTGGTTGGTAATGAGTGTCCATCCCTTTTCGTCTTTTGTGCCCAGTCTTTTTATGCTCTGCCTTCATTTTTAGGCCAAGAAGAGCATAGGGGCACCTAATTTCTCCTCATTTATATGCCAATTACTCTATGTTAGTTCTCATTCGTATGGTTTCTAACAGGGAAAAACGAACCATTAAAATTTCCCTTTCATTCACAATGCCTTATGGAAGGATAAATGGGTCATCATGGTTTTGACTTTATATTTGAATAACTTTTTTTACTTTATTATGGAATTCTGCATGCTCAGGAAGAAGGTTTTTCCACTGTGCCATGACACTGTGCAATTTTGACCCTGGATGTTTGCTCATTAGTTTGTATTTTATTACCAAATTTTACGCTGGTGTGTAGAATGAAATGTACCTTTCTTTATGAACAATGAGATAGCATGATCGTGGGATGTGGCATGCTAATTCCACATGACATTAACCCATAGCTTAAAAAACAAGTTCCTACATCACAAGAAAAATAAAAATATTGTCCTCTCATGTCACATGCTGCAAGAAAGCATTAATATTTGTTTCTTCCTAAATAGCTCAATCAAGTATTTTTTCAGCAATGGTACATCAAGTTTAAAAATTTTCGAAAAACTGTTTGTGAGGAACACCTGACTGAATGTTTAAAAACCCATGGAAAGAGCTCTCAACATAAACCAATGACTACTCTACAAAAGCATTACTGCTAGAAAACTTTGCAATCAAAATTTATGAAAATGGTAGGAAATGAATACATTTAAGGGATCTAGCATTATTTATTATAATAATCTACATTCGTGCATAAACGAGGGTGGGAAACAACATATGAACAAGGTAGTGTGTTTCGCTGGGCTAGTTGGTTGTTGGTCAAACATGGTAACAAGTTAAAACAGTGCAAACTGTAGGGTAACAAGTCACGTGACTTGTTACTCTGTACTTTTTTTTCATAATATTTCATTGAAGCAATAAACAGTCAGTTATTAGGGCTCATCCTGTCTGTTATTTCTCCGTTTGTCTCCTCTAGTATTTACTTTCTATCGTGTAAACAAGCCCTTGCAAGCATCGACAGGCATGCATCATTTTTAAATGTCTTTGAGAGCTCCTATGCGCTTTCCAATGCAGGCTTATGCTTCTTAGTATATGCATTATTTTTCAATGATGAAATGAAAAAAAATGCCTTTTTGGCTATCATGATACCTTCTTGAGGTGTAGCGTGTGAGGGTTTATTTGTGAGCAGCCACCTAGTGCAGCAAAGATCATGCACCACGTGATGTCCTCTTGCCTTATAAATACCAATGGTGTTGGCTAACACTGCCAAGAATAGCACGTACAGAAATGCCCAAAAAACTAGATGGGAAAGTGTATTTCATTATAGCTCAATTGTTGGAGCATCTAAAGCATAGCTATTAGCTTGTGGATTTGGATCCCACCGGCGAAAAGAGTGCTTTTACGTTCACGTTAAATTCTTTCAGCTCATGTCATAACTGTCACACTTGAGTTAAAAGCAGATAATAATACATCCCCTGTCTTCCTTGGCTTGCTTGTGCTTACACCTGGCACTTTCAAAAAGATATCTCCAAATCAAATATATTAAAAGCTATTAGCTGAGAAAGGCCAGCCATGCAGTTTCCTATAATACATCAAATACTTGGGTGACGTTCGAGATGACCATTTCAAAAGCAGTCCATGCCTGTCATTGAGAGACCAAAGCGTGATGCGAGAAGCAAGTCTGCGTTGCTGCTGCTGGTGACTCTGATGTCCCTGCGCAGTCTGTGTTTGTGATGCCATCATCGAGTGCCCGGTGTGCCCAATTGCCCAGAGCTGTGGACAAGCTGCCATTTTATGTTGCACTGAAGAAGTTGCGTGACCACCTGCGAGGGAGTCTGCCCATGCTGCACCCGTCTGAGGTTACATTTCCAGACGTTAAGCTCAAGGTGGGAACAACTTCTTTGTGAAAGTTTCTACAGTTATAAATGAGTACGAGTGTGCAAATAGTCATTTTTGAGGTCATATAAAAAAACCTAAAGGACATTTGAGCTTCTACATCACGAGCAGAATGCAATAGCGTAATAGACCTTATGTGAAATTGCTCGGGCACAGTCTGGCAACAGTAAGCCGAGTGCCATCTTGGTTGTTTAAAAAATTCGCAGTGTTCTCATGGAATTCTATGTGTTGTTGCAGTGTATTGCAGTGTCCTCTCATTGAATGTTATGTTTCGTCGCTCTAATTTGGCCACTTTTGACCCGCATTCTGCAAAAAATAGCACAACAGCTACGCTCTCCAGCAGCCGGCAATGTAATATTGTCACAAGGTCGTGATGTTGACAAGGGGAGCATATACAGGTCGAAGATGAAACTGTTTATTTGGGCTGAACTTGTGTCCACACAAAAGGAAAGTCACATTACAGCAAGACACTGGCACAGAGAGAGGGGAACCGAGTGTCAGCCGTCGATTATCTTACAAGTGGTGAAGCACATTGGCACTTATACATATGTCGTCGAATATTCTAGTGTTATCGCTAGCAGCCATGTAGGTTCTAGAATAATTTGAACTGTTCGCAAAGTGGGCATGATCTCAATGAAATAATCTGCTAGGACCCCGAAGCTTCTCAAGCACTACAGGCTCAGTTTGCACTGAGAATTTCGCACAGTGTAACGGGCCGATAACAGAACTTGAGGAAGGAACGCGGCATCGCCCCTCTCTGAAAAACGCATCATCCAGATGCTTAAAACGGGACATGGGAGAATGATGCATGCAATAAAAAAAAGTACAATAAATAAGTACAAACAATAAAGCACAACAATAGAGAAACAACAAATAATAAAATATTTAGGTTTGTTAATGCACATGAAACAGTTTGAGGCACATGACATGGACGACATTAGGTCGGGCACGGCGCCGTTGGGAGTTCTTGATGCCGTTGAGGACAGCTTAGTAGTTGAGTGTGCCAAGACATCTAACTACCCTGTACGGTCCAAAGTACCGTCTCAGAAGTTTTTCAGTCAGTCTACGTCGGCGTATCGGCGTCCACAACCAAACGCGTTTGCCGGGCTGGTATCGCACGAAGTTTGTCGAACATTGTAACGACACCTGTCGGTAGTCTGCTGATTCTTGATGCGCAGGCGGGCAAGTTGATGAGCTTCTTGAGCGCACTGAAGGTAGATGGTGATGTCGAGGCTTTCTTCATCAGCGACGCTTGAGAGCAGGGCCTCGAGCGTCGTTGCCGGGCTCCTTCCATAGACCAACTTGTATGGAGACATCTGCGTTGTCTCGTGCACTGCCGCGTTTTATGGGAAGGTCATGTACAGAAAAATGGCGTCCCACATCTTGTATTCGACGTCGACCTACATGGTCAGCATGTTGGCAATGGTCTTGTTTAGCCGCTCGGTGAGGCTGTTTGTCTGTGGGTGGTATGCTGTCGTCCGGCGGTGGCTTGTCTGGCTGTTTGCCAAGATCGCCCGAGTTAGGTCAGCACGGCAAGTTATTTTTTCACCCACTTTTCTTTCTTCTTATTTACTTTACATTTGTTGTAATAACTTCCCCTATACATTCCTTGGCATTATTGTCTGTTAGATCTCATTATTATTGTGTCAAAACACGGAAAAACGAGCCTCTAGGTGTACACTTCTTTCCCTTATTCATTAATGAGGGTCTCGTACTGGCAGACTTGATGCCGTTAGGATGTATACGAGGGACTATTGGTCAGCTGCCAGCTCGTAATAAGTCCACGTGCTACGTGATGCCATACAGGCTCGTAAAAAGAGTGTACCACACTCGCCCCCATGGTTACAGGTGGTGCTGACTGACACTCCCACGTTTAAAATTCATATATAAAACCCAATAAGTGGCTGGGGGAAAAGCCGTCGGGATAGCTCAGTGGTAGAGCATCGAACGCGTTATTAGGAGATCGTAGGTTCTGTTCCTGCTCACTGCAAGTTATTTTTTCACACACTTTTCTTTCTTCTTATTTACTTTACATTGGTTCTAATAACTTCTCCTATACATTCCTTGGCATTATTGTTTGTTAGATCTCATTAATATTGTGTCAAAACCCGGAAAAACGAGCCCTTAGGTATACACTTCTTTCCCTTATATAATATATATAGTCTTGGAAGAACGCTAACATCACCTTAATACATAAGAAAGGAGATGACAAGGACTTGAAGAATTACAGGCCGATCAGCTTGCTCTCTGTAGTGTACAAGCTATTTACAAAGGTAATTGCTAACAGAGTAAAGAAAACATTAGAATTCAATCAACCAAAGGAACAAGCAGGATTTCGAACAGGCTACTCAACAATTGACCACATTCATACTATCAATCAGGTAATAGAGAAATGCTCAGAGTATAACCAACCACTATACATAGCCTTCATAGATTACGAGAAGGCGTTTGATTCAGTAGAAATATCAGCTGTCATGCAGACACTGCGGAATCAGGGCGTAGATGAAGTATATATAAACATTCTGGAAGAAATCTACAGGGGATCAACTGCTACCATAGTGCTTCATAAAGAAAGCAACAGAATACCAATCAAGAAGGGTGTAAGGCAGGGGGACACAATTTCCCCAATGCTATTTATCGCGTGCTTACAGGAGGTTTTCAGAAGCCTAGAATGGGAACAGTTAGGGATAAGAGTCAATGGAGAATACCTTAGTAACCTGCGCTTCGCCGATGACATTGCATTGCTGAGTAACTCGGGGGACGAATTGCAACTCATGATTACGGAGTTAGACAAGGAGAGCAGAAAGGTGGGTCTTAAAATTAATCTGCAGAAAACGAAAGTAATGTACAACAACCTCGGCAAGGAGCAGCGCTTCGAGATAGGTAATAGTGCACTTGAAGTTGTAAAAGACTATGTCTACTTAGGGCAGGTAATAACCGCAAAGCCGAACCACGAGATTGAAGTAACTAGAAGAATAAGAATGGGGTGGAGCACATTCGGCAAGCACTCTCAAATTATGACAGGTAGATTGCCACTATCCCTCAAGAGGAAGGTATATAACGGCTGTATCTTGCCGGTACTTAGCTAGGGAGCAGAAACCTGGAGACTTACAAAGAGGGTTCAGCTTAAATTGAGGACGACGCAGCGGGCAATGGAAAGAAAAATGGTAGGTGTAACCTTAAGAGACAAGAAGAGAGCAGAGTGGATTAGGGAACAAACTGGGGTTAAGGATATCATAGCTGAAATCAAGAAGAAGAAATGGACATGGGCAGGGCATGTAGCGCGTAGACAGGATAACCGCTGGTCATTAAGGGTAACTGACTGGATTCCCAGAGAAGGCAAGAGAGTTAGGGGGAGACAGAAGGTTAGGTGGGCAGATGAGATTAAGAAGTTTGCGGGTATAAATTGGCAGCAGCAAGCACAGGACCGAGTTAACTGGCGGAACATGGGAGAGGCCTTTGTCCTGCAGTGGACGTAGTCAGGCTGATGATGATGATGATGATGATGTGTGTGTGTGTGTGTGTGTGTGTGTGTGTGTGTGTGTGTGTGTGTGTGTGTGTGTGTGTGTGTGTGTGTGTGTGTGTGTGTGTGTGTGTGTGTGTGTGTGTGTGTATTATGACGTCTGGGTTGAGACAGCGTTTATTCAGCCCAAGGGCTCAGCAGCGAACGGGCAGTCTGAGACCGAGTGTGCACACACACGATGATGATTGTTGTGACACCCAGTGAAGATGAGGACAGAGACCCAGATGGAGGATGATGATTATGATAATGCATATATGAAAAGAAGCACATGACGAATGCCCACAATAATTCCCCCCACATTGAAGGGGACAACCTGGCCGTAGCAAGTCAATGTGACAGAGAACGTTGCCTGAAAGGCTGCATGCGAGACACGTCCACGATCTCTGTGGTGCGGTGACGGCGGTCTGTTGGGACAACAAGTGGGGTCACACACGATAATTAACAGGCGAAGTCTGCTCGATAACTATGTAATGCCCAATGAAGTCTTGCTGAAACTTGCCACACAGACCAGGTGTACGAATAGGTGTGAACAGGAGCACCTCGTCACTAGGTCGGAAGAATACAAGGCGATGGGATGCGTCATAAACGACTTTTCGATCTTGCTGTCGCGCTTCCATGTTGATGCGTGCACGGTGGCGACACTGGGCTAGTCTTGAAATGTACTCCTTGCTGGAAGACGGGGCGAGTTGACGTCGCTGTTGAAAAAGGAAACATCAAAGAAGAAAGTCGGGGAACGTCCATAAACGAGGTAGAACGGCGAATATCCGGTGGTGTTCTGAACGGCTGTGTTGTAGGCAAAGGTCAGGAATGGCAGAAGAGTATCCCAGTTTTTGTGGTCTGGACTAATGTAGACGGCTATCATATCAGCAAGAGTATGGTGAAACCTCTCGGTGAGACCGTTGGTCTGAGGGTGGTAGCTTGAAGCTGTCTTGTGTGTTATTTCAGAGGCGCGCAATACTTCATTTAGCACTTCTGAACACCCTTCTACGGTCACTCAGCAATATACGAGATGCGCCATGGCGCAGAATGATGGCGTGCAAAACGAAGTCTGCAACTTCCGAAGTAGAGGCAGTTGATACAGTTGTTGTCTCCGCGTAGCGTGTCAAGTGGTCTACGGCGGTCACTATCCATCGTTTTCTTGTGGATGGGACGGGGAGAGGGCCATAAAGGTCGACACCTACAACCTCAAATGGCGTTGCGGGGCACGGAATTGGCTGCAGAGGCCTGGCCGGTGCAATTGTCTGGATTTTACGATGCTGGCACGGGACACAGGAACCGACGTAGCGCGCGATGCTAGTAGGAATACCAGGCCAATAGAAGCGACTTCGAATGCAGTCATAAGTTTTTGTGAATACCAAGATGTCCGGCAGTCAAGTCGTCGTGGAAGGCTTTTTTAAGCCCGTCAAGTCGAAGAGAGCATGGTAGCACGGGAACCCAGCGTTGACCATCAGGGTGGTAGATGTGACG